TTTCATAAATGTTACATTTTCTTAGGGTTATTCCATTTGACATCCTGAAATAATCTTCTTATGTCCTAAAAACATCAAATTAACTGAGATTTTTAGAGACTTAATGACCCTGACATGTTGTCTCTGGAATGTCATTTTGTGCTTTTCTTGCCTCATGACAGCAATGTATGGTTATTCCAAACTGACTGAATAAAATGTTAAAGCAAAGAAATACTACACTCCCTCCCAATAAAAAATTATTCAAGTAAAGTAAATATAAATCTACATATATTTTAATTCCTGACCTTTTTTTTTAACTTTAAGCCCCCACAAAACAAAATAAATAAATAAATAAGCATCAAAATTAATCTGAATTTACAACTTTTTTTTTTTTACGTTTTTACGTTACGTTTTATCTTTTTTTTTATTTATTTTTTTACTTTAGAATGAATAAATATAAATAAATAAATAAATAATTTTAATTCAGAAAATTCAGAGGATGCTCATCAAAGAAAATGCATTACATTAAATACACTATGTATGTATGCATTTATTTATTTAACACAAGACATAAAACCCTACAGAGAGAATGTTAGAGGAAAGACCAAGGGCAAAAAAAAAAGAAGAAAAAAACATGGCGGTTGAAGGTGAGAGAGAGAGAGAGAGGATGTATGCTACAGGCTACAGGAAGTATTAATGACTCGGAGTGCTGCATTTTGGTGGAAATATAAGCACTTTGATCAGAGAAATCCTACAAAAACAACACCAATAATCTCACAAATATAAAGACAGTGATACAAGAGACGGTTAAACCGTTAAACGACGGTAAAACCCACAGCACAGTGAACTTCTCCAATTATTCGTTTCTGTCAGACTTTTCCTGTTGTTTATTGATGTTAAATGAGCACGTGGCGGGACTTTTTTATTTTTTTTGGGCCTGAAGCGAGCCGTAGGTCAGCGGGGAAGACAGTGGGCAGCACAGAGCCCTCTCCCCTTGAGTCTGGGTGTATTTATAACCACACGGGTTGAGCGGGTGTCTTCAGGAGGTGCTGCTAAATATAACTCATATCCTTACTGGCTTTGGTTACATTCAACATACGAACACACACACACTTACACAGCGGACGGTACGGGGATACAGAATGAATTTGTGCACATGCTCGCATAAATCGTTTCAAACAACAAGTAACAAAAACAACATCTTGTTTCACAATCGCTAACACATCCGCTGACGTCACAAAAGAAAGTGTCTCCGTACGCAAATAAGACAAACATGGTGTGCACTTCCTGTGCCCTGATTATGACCTCACCTTTGTGTTTCATTACACCGGAAATCTGCGGCTGAATGCTGGCGAATCAACGCAGAACATCGATACTGTCCTATCAGATTCACCCTCAGCTAACTAGAACACGCAGCCCCCCCCTCCCCACACACACACACACCACACACACACACAATTAAGACACTTATTTTTATGGATGGGCGATTTTTTTTAAGTGCTTTTGGACTGAAGCAATGCAACACCCGCTAAGTGGCATTAAACAGCTTGAAAGATCAAAGACAATTTTTAATATAACTCCGACTGGATTCGTCTGAAAGAAGAAAGTCATATATAACTAGGATGCCTCGGGGGTGAGTAAAGCGCAGCCTAATTTCATTTTTGGGTGAACTAACCCTTTAAGTCTTATAGACAACATACAATGGTTTTCATAGTAAACGTACTATAACGCAACCCAATAAATCTTAACAAAAACTTATTTTCATCAGTAGATTTAACTCAAAACAAAACAATATGTCAGCTTTTAGTATATTATGGAGGACATTTTTTGGTAGCCGGCCAGTTTATGTTGGGATAACCAGTGACATGATCAATAACACACTGTTACAACACACAAAACACACTTAACAAATGCTCTGTCGCTGCAGGCAGATGTTACACTGTGACCGTCGACAAACTCGCCTCGCGAAACTTCCATCCCTAAACGTCATAAACGAGCCATTGTGTAATTATAACCTGCTAGTCATTGGATAGTAAGTCCACTGGTAATTAGTCACTAATTACACTGCATTCACTCTACAGTATAAATACACTATATATGAGAGTATGAATCAAACGTTATGCCTAAGTAGGGTTTTGTCGGTTATTATACAAATGATAATGTACGATTTATATATAGAAATATACATATTATAAATATTTATGTATCATGTATAGTGATTTAATTTTCAAACACGTTTCTAAATGTTAATTTTAATTCACTTTATCTAATTTTTAATAATGCTAGGTTCAGTTTCTGAACCGCAGAAAATCTTTGCGACAAGCTGTGAAGTCTAAAAATCACATTTTTTTATACAGAAAAAAATCCACTATGATTAAATATTCATAAATGAGGATTATAATCATTTTCATCTGCACAGAATAAAAAAAGCTCTGCTCTTACCTCAGACTGCAGGGGCAAAGGGCAGGGGTCAGAGGTCGTATCACAGGTGTAGAAACTTGCGTGATGTCCTTCCATGATGAACAATATGAGCAAAAGGCAGAAAGAGAGAAAAAAAAAGGCTTAATATGATACCATAAAATAATCATAACTATTTGACTATTTATCAGATACAATTAAATGTAGGCTAGTTTCTTGTCTGAAACAAAATAATTACAGGAATACAGGTATAGAGGTGTATGTATATATATATATATATATATATATATATATATATATATATTTAAACATTTAAAAAATGACTGTATAGACCTTGTTTTACGCCATTACGCTTTAGAGATATTATACATAAAGCATACCACACATAAAAAAAACTATGAAAGCAATTAATATGCAAACTGCGATGTAACTAACACTCTTCTTTCTCATATACTCTCACGTGTAGTGCTTCTGTTAAACAAAGTTAAAGTTAGCAGCACATATCCCCTACAGAGCAGTGCTGCCACTGAAAAAGCCTGTTAAATCCCTCGACCCAGTTCAGTTCACAAAGCCATTCATTCTGTTCTGTAATCACTGCAGGCCGGGCTGAGTGAACTCTCACCTCACACCACAGCACAGCAGACATGCGTGTTTACAGCAGTCTATTAGAGTAAAGTATCAACAAACTCTAATATCTATCTGGTACAATCTCCACCTCAGGATGTGGACAACGCTTAAAAGCAGCAATAACAGCTTTAAAAGAAATAGCTCACCCCAAACCTGCCGCGTTCATGACACCCGTGAAACCTTTCATGATGTGCAGCTGAAGTGCAATCGATGCTATAATAGAAACTGCACGCGCTTCGTCGAATGTTGTTTGTATCGTCAGATGCACGCATTTGACGTGCTTTGAAAACAGTTTTCTTGTGTGGGAAACACAACCTTAGATCTCCATAATAATATGGGGGTTGCACGACAAGGGAGTGAAAAATTAAAGGTGCCATAGAATGGAAAACTGTATTTAGGATAACAACAATTCTGTAGGCTACATGGAAATGACATACCGTGAGCCTCAAACACCATTGTTTCCTCCTCCTTATGTAAATCTTGTGCATTCAAAAGACCACTGAAAAATAGGCGAATCAGAACATAACACCGACTGTGACGTTACAGTCGGGATCACTAATAGTTACGCCCCCAACATTTGCATATACCCGCCCATGTTCTATGCCATGCCATCAAATAAAATAACGCGAGCCACTAAAGGGACATGGTTAGCTGCTTGCTAGCGGTAGCCTGTTACATTACAGTACATAAGATTTCACTTACCACATAAACAGAGTAAGGAGAGATGACTAAGGATGATGGCGAATGATTTACAGATCCTGAGCACCACTGACAAGCATCTGATCTGATGTGTGGTAAGTACTGCCGCTGTAGTTTACACAGAGCATGTGCAATCGCAAATCTCGAAAGTGAAAGTAAAACGCAATCGTGCATTCGCAAGCAGTTTCAATGCCCCGCATATTAATAGCGGCTCCCTGATGTCCGCATCTTATATACAGTATAATTACCCAACAATATAACTGCGAGAGAAAGTATTGAAATATATATTTTCCCTGTGTTTCCTTCCTGCTGTGTGAGCTACTGAAATAAGCTGCACTGTGAAACAGTCAATCAGAGCAGAGCTCAACATTGAGCCGCACTGCGAAACAGCCAATCAGAGCAGAGCGCAACATTATTATTCATCATGACCCTTCCAAATAATGTAAAAACAGACCATTTCATTCTAGAGACAAATCCTAGGGTTGTAAATGGACATGTAAAACCATTTCTGGAGATTTTTTGCCCTTACCTAAGCCACATACCTTCTATGTAGATATCAGAGAACAATTTAAAATATTGTATCAATGCATTCTATGTGAGCTGTACTGTGAAACAGCCAATCAGAGCAGAGCTCAACATTATTATTCATGACCCTTCCAAATAAGGTAAAAACAGACCGTTTCATTCTAGGACAAATCCTAGGGTTGTAAATGAACATGTAAAACCGTTTCTGGAGATTTTTTGTCCTTACCTATGCCACATACTTTCTATGTAGATATCAGAGAACAATTTAAAATATTGTATCAATGCATTCTATGGCACCTTTAAGCTCTATTGACAGCATGCTATCAGTTACCACAGAAAATATTTTTAACAATGCATTTACAATTTTTAAAAAAGCATATACAGTATAAACTAGAAATTATATGTTGTATCAATGCATTCTATGGCACCTTTAATAACACATTTGCTTTTTCAATCCAGGCTCACTGGAAACACGTGACTGTGACGACATTAATACAAAACGATTACATTGCTTCTCGCAAGTTTCTTCCAAATCGAAATTTCCAGTACGTGGCGCTAAAAAAAAACGTTTTTTATCACGCTGGGTGTTCTGTGTATCGTGGCGGTTTGGAAATGATACAGTATATCAGGTGAGTGGTGCTGAAAGATTAATGCGTTATCGTGTTACACCTCATAAACTAAACCCTACAATAAACCTAGCGCATAGTAGTAACAAAAGTGAGATAAAACTAACATTTGCTAGCTTACTTTTACTATGAGCTCTTTTATCGAGTGTCATGACTCAAGTGCAGCGCTGTACCAGGTGAGCTACCGAGCAAGTTCGCTACTTCTAAAATGCTATATATAATTCTGTGAAGCAAACATTACAATATGTTAATTCGTTTACAAATCACGCACAATGGTAAAAATACTCTGAGGTCAGTATTGGGCAAGACAGTGCTAATATAAGTCTTTCTTAATCAATAATCTGCCCGTAATCATAATTTGTGTTTAAAAGAAGAAAAGTTGTTGGTGTTTTACTGCCGCTGGTGTTCATTTTAGCTGCAAACTGCTAATTTATGCAGTCCTACATTTTTGTAGTTTTGCAAAACACTGATAAAAAAGTAAGTGTTTGTGCTGCCTTAAAATTTTAAGTCAACTCTAATTTCCAAGTTGCCACTTGTATAACTCAAGCTGACTAAGCGCAAAAAGGTTGTTACGTTGTTGTTTTTTTGTTTCGTTTTTTTTTAAACAACGTAAAACATTTTGTTAACAGTATAGAGGCACATTTTTCCAATGATCCTATTTTGCGATTTTTATGAACTAGGCTATTCCTTTTATATTGTTTTACATTTTTCCGACCAGAAGTAACCATCCACTCCCGTTGTATGGAAAACAGCAGCCTGTATATTGCGCTAAACTTCTCTTTTAATGTTTGATTGAAAAAAACAAAAAACAACAAAAAAATAAACACGTTTTGAGCAACAAGAAGGTGAATAAGCATTAATGAGAAAAGTTAAATTTTTGAGTGTGCTTTCCCTTTAAGATAAAGGTAACCGTCCTTCTAAAGCAGCGTATCTGTGGTAGAGTGGTGTTGTAATGCCCGGGATTGTGAAACGAGACTTTGTGAAGGCGTTTTATTGATACGTGTGGCACAGAGCAGCTCAAGGACTTGCTTTTGTTTCATATTCACCTCACTGCTGTGCTCTCTGCCACAGGACATGACATCACTCGCCGGGGTCACGGCCCGCCACCGACTCCACGATGAAAAAAAGAAGGAAAGGGGGAGAGATGAAGACGAGAAAAGAAAGACTTGGGAAGTGGTGCTCTGTAGGTCACCTTGCCTGGCTGAGAGATCAATGTCGCTTTGACTCGCTGGTTAAAGAGAGAGAGAGCGAGAGACTGCAGCCCAGACACCTTGCCAGTAAATCACCTTGCCAGCTTCATTGAGATGCAGGTATAACATAGGATGGGCACAAGGCCAATGCCTACAATACCCCCCCAACACACACACACACACTCACACACTAACACACACACACACACACACTCACACACACACACACACACACACACACACACACAGGGTTATTGTAGTTAACTGAAGTTAAAACCATTAACAATCATTTTCGTTACTTGAACATTTTTATATATATATATATATATATATATATATATATATTGTATATATGAAACTATACATTTAAATAATGAAATAAATGAGTAAATAAATATATGAAAAAGAAGTAAGATAATTATGGGTGTGAGTAAAAAGGATAGTTCATCAAAAATGTGGGGAAACTATAATAAACTATGCAATTAAATAATTAAATAAGTAAATAAAGAAAATAAAAAAATAAACCGAAAATAATGGAACTGTGCTGTATGTATAAATGACTGAAATGTCATGATTTGAACTATGATTTCCTATTTTTTGACCTTGGAACAATAAGATCAATGTGTACGACCAACATTGTTACAGAAAACAACTATATTATCTGTAATAACCTAATCAGGATTGTCCACAATCAGTGATTTTGACACTTTTATGTGGCATTATAGATTTTTTTTTTTGCTTTTTGAAGCTTGACAGACCCAGTCACCATCCACTTTTATTGTACGTAAAAGAGCAGCTTGAACCTTCTACTAAATCTTTCCTTTTCAAATGTCCTTTTGTGTTTCACAATAAATAAATAAATCAAAAGCAAATGACGTTACAGATGTGTTATTTATTTATTTTATTATATCTATTTGTTCCCCCATTTTTGATGAACTGTCCCTTTAACTCACCCATAATGATTGAATGCATGGTTGATTTTCAAAAACAAACACTCTACCATCACGTGTGGCGTCTCTTTCACTCTCTCCTAAAGTACAAGGAAACCTTCAGAGCTCAGGCAATCAACACAAACACATCCATTTCCTCAGTGTAACTGTGGAGGGAAAGTTAAATTATTATCTTTTCAAATAGCTGCTCTATAACTCAGGTTTACAGAGGCAGAGAGGGGTCGGGGGACGGCGGCACGTCTGCGGATGATGGACGCACATGGCAGGGACATAAAGTCCCTCCTTTAAATCACTCTAAATGGAAATGTTTAGCGTGGAGAGATGCAGATGAGCTCGGATCCAACAACGCCGAGCTTGTTTTTGTGCTTCAGAATGAAAAACGCCTGCAATGCTTTGACACCAAAGATGAAACGGCCAGAGAAAGTGTTACTAGAAAATATTGATTTATTTGGATAAGACATGGCCTTGATTATCA